CAAAAACCGCGATAGAGTGAAGACGCGGAAGTCGAAGCGCGAAGTGGCGAGGGTTCACTGTACATGAATATGTACTTGTGCATATGTATAAATGTGTACATAAGTAAGTATATAACCATCTATTTGTTAAGAGATAAATGCTAGCAATATTGAGAATAAAACAGATTCCTACAATCAAAAAACAAAGAGTTACATACTAAGAAACCCACAGGGGCAGTTTTTCAGTTTTTCCCTGTCCTATAGGGTTGCCAGGTGTCAGAATCAACTCAATGGCACTGAGTTTTATTTACTCCGGTATTTTTCACTTTGCTCCAGTTTTTATGATTTTCTTTACAGCAGATTATTTTCCTACATTTCCAGTCCATCTCAAGAAATATTAAAGTTCTAACTTTAAGTTACTAAATCTAACAGCCTCTTCCAGCTTGTGGTTTTCTTTCTAGGGTATATGCACTGCAGGGAATTACTTAATGTGGCCCTTTTTGCTACGCATGTTCCCACATAACAATTGGGGTTGGGACTATGCAAAAGGGGCTTGTGAACCACCAGAAAATAAGACAGGTTGATAATAATGCAGATAAGGTACAACATAGCACCCTTGTTGAGGTGACCTTGCAAATGAGGTGGACGGAATTCTGAGGAGGAGATTGGTCAGTTGTGCCACCTTGCTGGGCTTGAGATGTGAAAAGAGGTGTAAATAAAACTCAGAAAGGGAACTTCACTAGTGTGAAGAAAAGAAGATTCAGAAAGGGAATATGGTGTTATCCTTGTTTGAACTCTCATACTACCAATAAGTATCCTTTTCTCAATCTAGTGAAGTGTCACATTTTTGTGCTTTATGTTGATGATTTTGGCATTTTAAATGGCTTTGAAGTATAATAATAAAGTGCTATCTAATGTTTCTAAGTACAAACATGTTATAATGTGTTTTACGGAGAAAAATTTTATGTTACATAAGCTTTGTTCAAGCATGAGGTATAGTGCCATGAGTTCAACCTTAATAAATTCTCAATATGAATTTTAAAAGGTGTTTTGAAAAAGAACACACATAAAACACGGCTACATATTGATCAGTAGATAAAAATTTTATGACCAGAGGCTTATAGGAACCTAACGCTGGTATTTCTCCTGGGGATAATGGTTCAATAGTCATTAATTCACTGTGCACAATGACTATAGAACACAACTACTTTGACAATGACAATCAGCTGTATATGATCCAAAGTTTAGTATGTTGATCCCTGAGCACTTGAAAGGGATTCTCAGCACTTGAAAGGAATCTAGAAAATGTACCATAGTCAC